GGCTCCAGAGGTAATTCTCTAATTCCCTCGCGTTCCTCGACCCACCGAAGTTCTTTGGCCTTGGAACATCTACTCGTGGAGTAGATTAAGTCGCGGCAGGTCCGTTAGCCACGGCTCTTTTGACGAGATTGAGCTCTCCTCTAAGCTCGTCAAATTCTTCCCTCACTTCGTCCACCTGGCCTCGAACGGTCTCCCTCAAGGAGTCGATGGCGTTGGTGATGATGGTCAAAAACTCGTTTCTGGAAGCTTCTAACCCCACCTCCAAGCTGACATTCGAGTGTCCATGCCTTGCATGTCGTCCTTCGAAGTCTGCACCTCTCAGCTGACTTGATCGAATTTCGACTCCATGTCCTCAAACAAGGTTGTATGCTTGACAATCTTCATCTCCGCTCTTTTGAGCCTCTCCTCAATTGCCACCAAAGGCTCTCGAGTTGATCTATCACGATTCTTCTTGGTGTTTGGATCCTTCTTCTCCTCACGACGGCGTTGTTGCTCATTGTCGAGAACTTCGCTTTCGGATCCAGCCATCTCTTCGAGGTTCTTTCTCACTTGCTGAGCTACGACCTTGGCTCTGATACCACTTGTCACGGACTAACTCTTGGCCGTGCGACACTTAGCACTCAAGTCTCGTTAGAGCACTAAGTCAACCTTGCTCGTATTCACTCAAACTCACAAGTATGGAGAAAAGCTCTAGAGATGGAAACTCTCAATTTCTGGATGAATGAAAAGTGATGGAGAGGGCTGCTTATATAGTCATCCTCTCCACTAAGTACAATGTACATGGCTGTCATAAATGAACGAACCTAGAAGTCCCCCCATACATGAACTAGCCCCATACATGAATGTAATAAATAGGTGCATGAATAAAAGATAGGAAAGGGGGATGTATGTACATTGGTGCATGAATTGCAAGATGCATGCATGTACTTACATCCTTCTAGAACGATCTAGAGTCTTCCGCGTAACATACTTCAATGAGCATCAACCTCATAGCCTGTAGAGTACCGTTTGTATGCAACTCCCGAAATGGTCTTCCGTCCGCTAGTAACATCTTCTTTAATCTAGAATCCTCTAGAAGCTTTTGGATTTGAAGATGTTGAGCTTCAATGTAATCATGGTTCTTCTTATAAACATATAAACAAAGAAAGAAAATTAGGATACTAGATTAAGTAAAACTTCTAAAGAAGACATAAATGAAAATTTATTAAGAGACTAACCGTATCGATTGCACCAGTTGCTGATTGAAGCCACTTCTTGAAGGATGAATGAGCAGATTCAACCCGATTTGAGCTTGTATTACCCAAATGTCGCACTTGGTTTGTATAACATGTTGCCCACATGTTCTTGTTTGGTAACCACTCATCTGACAAGTACCTCCAAAGACGTGGATACTGTACTCCCCAACTACGCCTGAAATTGTCTAAAGCTCTATGCATGCCTTCCTCACTACTGGGATATACAATCCTTTTCCAAGACGCCATGATCAGATCCACTGTCGGTTTGGCTATATCTATCCCACAATGAGACGTCCTCCTCACCTCCGTTAGACACCGTGTTCTCACTTTCCTGTCTACATGCCAAAGGCATAGTATATGAATCGATGATGGAAACATTACCCCCACGGTCTCAACCAATCCTCCTGCTTTGTCACTAACAAATACCTCTGGAGTGATAGAGCCAAGCAAATGTTGAAGATGCATGAGAAGCCACTGGTACGACTCTTTTGTCTTGTCATACACTAGGGCAGATGCAATGACAAAGTTCAATCCCACCGGTGTCATGCCAACAATCTCAACCCATGGAAACTCATACTTGTTGGTCTTGTATGTTGCATCTATCACAATGACATGGTGCCAAGCTCGCAACATCAATATTGACTCAGGGTGGGCTAGGAACAAGTGTGTAAGCACGTTACGGTCATCCACATACTGCACATAGTAACCCTTCTCCCGAGCATCTTGAAAAGTGTACTGTAAGGACGTCCTCAGACCAAGCTCTTCTTTTCTTATCTTAAACAATGCGTTAGAAATCTGTCTTTTGTTCACCTTTCCATGCTCCTCTTTTCTCTCGTTCACTGCCTTGTGGATATTCCTTGGGGCGACACCGGCTAATCTCAATTGTCTGATGTATTGCTTATCATCTTCGGTCAAAACATTCCTCTTACTTGATCCAATTGGAAATAGCTCCAGCAGATGATTGGGGAAACACAAATTAGCACCAGTATTCTTTGTATTAGCCACTGGTAGTATCAACCAATATCCATCATCTGACCGCTCAATCTTGATCTGAAATTCGCACCCCAACTTTCCAGAAGAAGTAAGAGGCCTCCTTTCCTTAGCCGGATCAGAATCAAGAGCCTTCGATTTTTTCTTCCTACCATGAGTGCACTTCAAGTATCGTCGCCTACTATCTTCACTTGGATTTTTTTTATTTGATGCATTCACCAAATAAAACCCAAAACCCTTGGCAATCTCAGTAGCTGCTGCATATGCAATCAAATCCGTATCGTATTTTACTCCATTGACAAATTATGAGGTGTAATTTTTGTCATCCCCTCCGTAATCATCAATATCCTACAATGTTAGATCTCATGATATAAGTAGGACTCCACAATAATAGAAAATCTAACGACTAAATTTAATTTAACAATTATCACAAATAATTTAGCATTCTCTATATTCTCCTAAGCAAAATCCAACATTTAGACAAAATTTAGCATTCTCTATTATTTACATACTATACATCTTATGTAAGAATCATATTAACCACATTCTAGAATTTTTTTATTGCATATTATACATCTAATCTTAATTTTGTATTTAAAAACATTCAATTTCACAAATAATTAGGCTCATAAATTTTAAAAATAATATAAGCTAAAATTCAACAAACAATCTTATAGACCAAACTATAAATCATAACAAAAAAATAGAAATATTTGATATAAACTTAAAAAAACCCAAAATCCACCGACAGAAGCAAATTTTCGGTTCCACCATGGCTAAACCAAAGCCAATTTTCGGTTTCACCATGGCTTAACCGAAGGAAGGGTTCGGTTCTACCGTGGATCAGTCGAAACCAAATTTCGTTTCAACCATGGCCCAAACGAAGCAGATTTTCGGTTCGTCCATGGCTCAACCGAATGTAATTTTTGGTTGGTCCATGGTTCAACCGAATCCGATTTTCGGTTGAACCATGGACCAACCAAAAATCATATTCGGTTGAGAATTTTTGGGTTAAAAAAAACGAGATTCTTACCTCGTCGGAGTCGCTACTCATTGTTCGGACGTATGCTCGACGATTTCGGCTTCCAAATCTCGATGATGAATTCGAGAGTGTGGGAGAATGAGTGTTTTTTGCTTTCTAAGTGATGGTGGTGTTTGTTTGCTAAAGGAAAGGTAAAGATGTTAAAAGGTTAAAAGTGTAACTTTGTTGTTTTTCAGGACGATCATTAGTAATTTTTAGGACGACCTTTATCAACTCCCCTTTGGAGCCTCAATGGCAGCTAGTCAGCGTTGAGTTGCGCCTCAAAATGATGTAATAATATCTTTTTTCTACCTTTTGAATGCTACTAGGGGGGACGGTCTTGATTTCTCTAAAGATAGGCTAGAATATAGTTAGAGGCGACCATCTTTAGAGTCCTTCTTCTTTCTTTTTTGTGCTTATTCGCTCTCAATCTGCTTCGCGATTTTCCAGCTTCTTCTTCCTTACTCATTTCTCCACACTATGTTTTTATGTTTTACCATGTGTTGTTGTTGAAAGTTTAGAAATAAGAGGTAGATGTGATTAGAAATGACAACACAATCCGAACTCACGGGTACCCTACCCATCCCAACCCGATTAACGCGGATAAAACCCGCATTGACGGATTATGGGTCAGGTTCTGGTTTAAACCCGTTTTGTTTTGCGGGTTGGGTTGGATTCAGTTTTAACTATATCCAACCCGCTCCAACCCGTACCCATCCCCAATCACGAATCCCTTACCACTTCCCATTCGGCCATCCTCCATACTAATTCCTAACCATAATTCCAAAAAGAAAAGAAACTGCCCCCAACCCTATAACCACTCGACCTCGATGCCACCATTAATGATGACCAAGATCCAAATTCTACTTCATGTGTTACTGGTATATTTAATATGCTAAGCAGTATATATCTTCCTTAAACAACTAATCTTCCTTATTTTTGTGGAGATATGTCTAATTTGTTCTTACTAATTTTGTAGAATGAAGTTAATATTATGAAGTGGAGAGTGAAGAAGTTTAGTTGACAAGGAGGATAAAGTTTTCAATTAATAATGTTGTTTATGGATGTTTATATTTAATGTTGAACAATTTGTATAGATATTTTGTGATTTGCTTGTATGCTCTAGATTAGTATTTTTTGTTTAGATAATTTGTGTGGGGAAAATGACGTAAACTTTTATTTTGACAGGAACTTGTTATTATACATTTTTTTTACCACAGAACCCATGGGTATCCATAAACCCGCACATATCCAGCGAGATGGGTTGGGTTTGAGTTTTTCAAACCCAATGGATTTTACCCCGGATTTTATTGGGTTTGAGTTTGGCAAACGCAACCAAATCCGGCCAATTGCCATTCCTAGATGTAATGATATTGGTTCATAAACTTGTGATTCTAGACAAGTGTGAGATATTTTTGCTACATTTACATCTAACACTTAGATATGCCTAGGATAGCGTCTAAGCATGCTAAGCGCAAGGCAGAGCCTCAATATGCTTAAGTTGTTTTCCCCCTCATAACTTAGTTGTTTGTTTTTACCTTCATTTATGATTGGAAACGACTGACTCTCTTTGAACAACCCGATGATGGAGACGGTCGACTACGTCTCTTGAACTTGAACACACTTGGTACATCGCGGTCGACCGACGTATGTTAACCTCCTATTCTCCCCCTCAAGTTGGAGCATGAACATCGTGAATGCCGGCTTGAAAAGCGATGAATGGTTGAAAAGCGAGACAGAAGACTACGACATCACCGACAGAGAAGTCGCGACGGCGGGAGCTCGAATCTGAGCGTTCGATGTCGATTTTGGAGACTGATCTGTGGGAAAAGAGCATCGATCTGGTGGGAATGGCGATTGATGACTTGCGACGAGCCCACGGAGTCGTCGTTGATGGCGTGAACCCAGTTGCCGGAGCCACCTTTGCTGGCAACGGAGAAGCTTCTCTTGGCTTGCAAACATCTGATTTGGCGGGCGGAGCGACGGTGACATCGTCCGTAGTTTCCGACGAGAATAGCGGGACGAACTCCGTTGGTGCACGGAAGGCTAGCTAGCTGTGATCTGATAATTGAGACGAATACTTCGCCTATGAAGACCGACGGGGACAACATATAAATCCCTTGATCATCGACGTTAACGGAGACACCCTCGGCGCCAGATCGGAGTCTCTTTTTGGGCTTGGCCTTTGTGTTGCCAATAACGAAGAGGACTACGGAGTTGGACAGCGCCTACGAGAGGAAAAAGCTCCTTGAGCGGAGGAAACGTCAGACTGATGACGTTGATGCTGTCGTGAGAGACAACAGATGCTGACTGCGGAAGCTCAAAATCCTAGACAAGGGATCGAGTTTCGCTCTGATACCATGTCATAAACTAGTTGGACCCAATAACTCGAGTTGTTGGGAGAAGGTTATGCTGGATCTTATACAGGCCCGTGTATGGTGCTTAACCACTTCCTTACAAGGAATGACGGAACTAATTGTAAAATATGGATCCAGTAAGTTATTAAATTGATTGATTTGAAAGTCTTAGTTTTTGGAGGGAGATTTGAGGATTTGCATTTTGGGATTTAAAGATTTAAAAATCGTATCTATTATTTGATCAAGATTTGGCTTCCAATTTCATGAATCTTTAATTTTTTTTGACAACATTAAATTTGAAATTTACTCCATGAGTCAATACACATCTAGTCGACCTAAAACACCACAACCAAAGTGAATTGTTACGAAATTTCTTAATGATCTCGACGAAGTGAAACTTGAAATTCAAGCTGAAGCTCTTCTTTAAGACTTGAAGATATACGAAGAAATGAAGTGAAGTACAAGGCCAAAGTAGAAACAAATAAACAGGGGAAACAAAAATTTCCCCTTTTTCCCATTGTATTGATTTTAATTTCATGTGGAAAAACTTGTATGAAATTGGCCAGATACTTTCATAAGTTGCCCCTATATGTGATTTCCCCAATCACAAAAGAGGGACGGTTTCCCTTTTCTTTTCCTTTGCCTCCTTTACAAATACCTAGGAAAATGCTTCTACCAACAAAGAAGAAACAGAAAAAACAGATTAAATCAAATTGACTTGTCATCCTTCCCACACACAACAAATTTACAGAAGGCATCCGTCCTCTCCTCTTCATCCCCTTCTTTGAACCAACCCCTTTTTTCTCATGTGGACAAGTCATAGAAGAAGAACAGATTAACCATGGAAATGGTGCCAAAATTAGCCAGCAACCCATTTGGGAGCATACCTTCTTTCCCATACAACATCAATTCTTTCTTATAGATACAGAATATTGTAATATGTGAGCTTGTTAGGATGATTGATGACTTTCCATTCATTCCATCACAAGCTGCATATGACGGTTAAGGTCGTTGAGGTAGTTGGTACATGTGTAATCTTGCAGGTCACTAGCATCCAATATCACTGCCCTCCCTGAGCTCGTCTTCGATATCATCACCATATCAATTGTCAGGTCTTCCCCATTCAGCAATTGCACAACCTACCCATGGTGAAGAAAACTCAGTTTTAACTGTCTGGTTCAGAAAAGTAATTATGAGCAAACAATCAATTTACCCGATTCATAGAGGGTCGCATCTTGGAGACATGGTCAATGCACAGAAAGGCTGTCACCATTGCACGCTTCATCTCAATGGGATCGAAATCATTTCCTAATCTTGGATCCACCAATGTACTCACATCGTTCTCCACCAACAATGGTTTTGCCTGGAGACCATAGATATGCAGGTTGATGTAAAAGTAATAGACTTTGACTCACATCCCACATCATGTAGAAGGCAAGAAACACTACATACCCACATAGCAAGGCTTTGTCTGGAGGAGTCAACTGCGTGGCGACCTGTGATGATCTCCAGCAACAGGACCCCAAAGGCAAACACATCTGTCTTCTCATCAACCACTCCATGCATGAAGTATTCCGGAGCAAGGTATCTGAGAAACCCAAAGTTCAAGTTACAAACAAATGTTTGAGAATGAGAAAAGGTGAGTATGCATGGAAATTGGCGCCCACCCAAATGTGCCTTCAATTGGGTAGACAATGTGCTGAACCCAATTCTCTGGGAGCCATTTCGCCAGCCCAAAATCAGAAATCTGAGCTTCATAATCTTCACCAAGCAAGATGTTTGATGCTTTGATATCTCTGTGGATGATGCGCCTAGGGCAATCATGGTGAAGATACCTAAGACCTTCTGCAATTCCTATAGCAACTTTGTACCTTTTCTCCCAGTCTAGAAACTCTTCCGAACCTGCAGAAACGTTGAATAATAATGTCATGACAATTCAATGCTAAACATAGTTCATGTATGAAGAGAAGAATGAAAAGCAGGGATTAGAAAGTAGCAGGAGGGCACCATGGAGCTTATTTGCAAGGCTGCCATATGGTAGGAACTCTAGCACAAGATGCAAACCACTATCGATGCTGAAGCCTATAAGTCTAGCTGCATTTGGGTGGTTTATATGTGCAATTATCCCAAGTTCTGACAAGAAATCAGCTATTAGGTCCTCATCTTGCTTCTCTGCTTTCATTATCTTCTTCACAGCGACAATTTGGCCATCAGGTAATTGCCCTCTGTATACTTCTGCATGACCTCCTTTCCCTATCATGTTCTCTGCCCAATTTTCAAATCACAGAATCAGTAAGTTGTTGAAAGAAGTAGAGACCCGCAAAAAGAAAAAAGTCCAGTCTAAGAATGAACAGAACCAGTATTAAAATCATAACCATCTTAATGATATATTGACATCATCACGGCAACCTAAATCTCATATTAGCAAGTCAACAAATCACTCTAACAGACATTCAGTTAGTCAAGCAGCTCTTATCCCCCACCGTATTAATATCTCCTAAACTTCACCATCTAACCGTAATTAGTCAAAGATTTGCAGCTGAGGGCTCTGAATAACTTCCAAAAATTTAATTATTAACTCCAGAAGATTCAGAACTATCCCTAAAGTCAGCAGCTTGCTATGACTATTTTGAACAAACATTCAGAAAAGTTTGAGCATTTCCCTAACCTGGGCAGAAATCCTCGGTAGCAGCAGCGAGCTCGCTGAAATCAAAGTTCCTCCAAGAGGGTTTAGGGACAGGGAAGCCATCATAGTCAATGACAACATCACAGGGGTTCCTAACCCGGGAAAGTTTCTTCTTGATGTTCTTCCTGGTGATAACCTCGTAGGTAGTGATCAGTGGGATTACAGAGAACCGCCTCACTGACTTCTTCCTAATGGTGTCGAACATGGACTTCCACTGGTTGCAATCATTTGCGGGATCCATTTCTGTATCTGTGATGCCCTCCGCCGGCTGTCTCTCCGACGACATGCTGCCGGAACCGGTGGAACTGGTGGTGTGATCAGGATCGGGATCTGGGTCTGAACCTCCTGAGATAGGAACTTCCAGAACACATCTTGGTGAAGGTTCTTCAAGAATGAAATCCCTCTCCATTTCTGGGATTTCTTGAGTTTCAGCAACTGCTGTCTCTTCTTGATTCAAACACAGCACGAAAAGTATCAGGATATATGAGCGGGGAAAAAGTAAAGAGGAACACCATAATCAGGCCTGCCCGCCAAAAGCATGTGAAAAGGACAAGGTAACATTCGGAAACCAAACGGTAATCTGCTTTCAGAATAATAATTAGAAGATTTAAAAGGGATAGGGGCAACCCATTTGACCTTATTTCTGGATTCAAGTAAGAAAATACAAACGATTTATTTTGCAGCCCTAATCCCGGAAAGCAACAGATAATGCCAAAAGAGCTGTAAAAGATTGACGAGCGGAAAGCTGAAGAAAACTTCATTCAGGACTTATATCAAACACATGTTAGGCACTTTTTTCTTTTGGGGCACAACAATAATCTCAATTCTCAAGACCCCTGTCCCCTCCTCCATTCCTGCACTTTACCTCTCCCCTTTTCGCTTTCCCCGGCAACCAAACAGAAAACCCAGAAACCAGCCAGAGAAGGGAAGATGAAACGAATTGGTAAAGTTTGCGAATGTATCTCACCTTCCGTAGTAGCCATATCTCCTCGCAGAACTCTTTCTGGGTATCTCTGAAATCTTCACAACATATACAGAAAAAACAAGAGCTTCTTCTTCCCCTGTTTTCCTTTTTGACCTTAATCCAACTTCTCAATACCCAGAAAAGAGACACCTGAAAGAAGATTGAAACAGAACCCAGAAAAAGGAAGAAACAGAAAAAGATTAAAAGAGGTTGACGATTGAAGTTTCCCACACAACAACAAACAAAAAAGGGGAGGGCTGGAGCTTGCCTACACCATTGGGCTGGCTCTAAAAGGAAAGGGGAAATTGGGAAGGAAGGAAGATCAAAACAGAAAAAAAAGGGTGAGAGATTAGGAGGAAATGGGAACGGATAATCAACCAAAGAAGTTGGGAATGGGATATCTTTAGCAGTTGGTTATTCTTGGGAGGATTGGGGGGAACATGTCTGTTGCTAGAAGGAAGAAAGCAGACCCATGGAGCTCTGCGTCTGCTGTGCTCGCTTTCTTTCTTTCCTTCCCTTTCCCTAATCTATATTTATACATCCCTTCCCTCCATTCTATATATATTTGAGGAGAACTGAAAAGGAAAACGAAAACGAAAAAGAGAAATCTGAAATCCTTTTCTTCCTTCTCTGTTCTTTTTCTGTTCCCTGTACTTGAAGGGGTACGAAAAGGAGAGAGGGGAGATTGGAATCTAGGGAGGGGTAAAGTGTAATCGTGGCCGTCGGTATTTTGCCGCTCCATAATTTTGCCGCGACCAGCGCTTTGAAACAAGCGAAAGCGAAAGTACTTGGGATAATTACTGTACAGCACCTAATGTTTGGTTGATAAGAAATATAAGTCCTCCAAAATTGTGTAATTTAACCTAGCCGTTAAACGTTACTTTTAGTGGTGTAATTAAAATGTGAGGTTAATACTATATTTTGGCCCGAACTATGACCATATAATCAACTTTGGGCCGTGGTTTAAGAAATTAACATCCTGGCCTCAACTATGCAGTATATAGACTCAATTGGCCCGACACATGGTTTGACCGTCAATTTGGATGGTCAACACGGTTGACCGTTAGTCAACACGCCATGTCATTGCCTCATCGGTCTAAAAATTATTAAAAAATCAAATTCAAATTATTTTCCTAATTTCTATTATTTATTATTTTCAAATTAACCCAAAAAAAATTTAAAAAATTTAAAATAAAACTTATATTTAT